TCTTTAGTAACACGTTCGCAGCGCCGGTTGCTCGCGACGCCACCGACAGGACGGCTTCCTCGTTTGGTTTCTCGTCCTCTGTTGGCTTGATGTCCTCATGGAGTGTGGGATGGTGAGGTCGTCGACACTGGTTGATTCCGCATGGCTTCGCTCGGCAGGTGATGCGCCTGTGCTTGCTGCTTATGCACTTGAAGCACACCTTCTTGTCCTTGACTAACTCCCAACGTTGACTGACCGTGAGCGATTTATATTTGGGGCACTGCGGCAAGTGGTGATGTTGACCACAGCCAGGGCATACCTCAATATCTTCAGTCGGCTCGGCCGTCGCGTATACTGGTTGTGTTCTTTTCTTCAGGACGATCGCTGGTCTGCTCTCTCTTCGTGCTGCGCTCGCGGCAATGGTGCTTGTAGATGGTGCATACGTGAAGCGCAGCGCTCGATCTGCCTCGCGCATCAGGAAGCGGGACAGCGTCACAATCTCCGGTTCTCTCACGTCGTCTTGTTGTTCGTGTGCGTAATCGCACCACCTCGATCGCAGGTGTGGGCTCAGTTTTTCCAGCACCTCTCTTGCAAGTAAGGGGTTGAAGAGATATCCCCTTTTGTCGATGGTTTGCAATACGCATACGGTGTTTTGTACTCGTATGGCGAATGCGTTCAGCTCCGTTGCCGATGATCCTGGCTTCGACATTTTCTTTAGTTCGTCGAGCGATCGGTCGATGATCACTTCTGGTCTCCCGAAGCACTGTTCTAAAGTCTTCATGATGATTTCAGGATCTGAAGCGGTGTGAAGGAGCGCGGCTACTGCGTCCCGTGCTTCGCCCCTGAGGCAGCTTCTCAGTCGTTGGATGTTTTCTGCCGACGATATGTGATATATGCGCGTCGTGTCTCGGAATGCAGCGTAAAACGGCAGCCACTCGTTGATCGCACCCGAGAAGGTCGGTAGGTCGGTGTGCCGTAGTCGTGGCCGCGCCATTTTTTCTAGTGTAGCTGCTAATTGTTCGATGCCCGCTTTTTCTTGTGGGTGATTTCGGCCTGTGACCGCCTCTTATTTCTTCTCGCGGCGCTCCCCCCGTTGTCACCTCCCCCCTTGGTTCGAGCGGGTTTGAGTGTAACCACTCGACCACCTTTTCCCGTTCTTGGGCAGGCGTTAACGGCGCCTCATGTAGCGACTCCTGGTCGTCCTGAATGGCCGACACCTCGGCGGCTAGTCTTTTCTTGACCAGTTCTGCTTCAAGTTCCAGTTCTTTTCTTTTTATGTTGGCCAGTCTCTCTCCGCTGCCTCTAGTTCTGCCAGCCTTAACCTCGTGTTGACGCTGGCTGTCGAGCGGTGTGACATTGCTGGCGATCGTTGACGGCGATGTTCATTTTGTTCCAGTAGCGCTGAAGAGGGTTCCGTAGGGGCGTGGATCGTGGCCGAGGCGGGCAGACGGGTGCATTGTTCACCGGTACCTGTTCGGTGCGGTACGGGTGACGCTGGAGGTTCGAGGGACAGTCGTCGTTGACGTTCCAACTCAATACGATCGATCTGTCGTTCTTGCGTCCGTCTTCGTTCTTCCGCGTCGGTTGAGTCGCCTTGGCTCCGGGTAATAACCATTTTCTTGTTTGAGCTCTTCGGAAATCTTCTAGTTGACAGTAAATGTTCTTCACTATCCGGCTACTCGATGGACCAAAACTGTAGTGGACTGTATTAATTTTGAATGTTCTTCCAATAAAAGAGTTCTTCCTTTTAGACGTTTATTATTCTTCATTACAATTGAGCCGTATCGTACAAATTTTTATTTACACATATATATACATGACAGTGGTATGACAATTAACTAGTGTTTAAAAGCTAATCTTCGGGCGTCGACCAATCACGGCCTCGATCCGCCGTCGCCGTGGCGCCACCCAGGGCGGTTCGACAAGCGGTGATTTTGCTGCGACTGGTTGCTCCGCCGGTGACTGGTAGGACGCGCGACGAACTATTGCTTGACGCGATGTGGCTGTTCAACCGGTGTGTTAGGCGACACTTTGTTATTTTCTTCTGTAAATTACTTAGGCGATCCGTTAGCCGCTTGAGTCGCTAACAAATATGTATCAACTTTTTCCCATTAAAATCAATGAATCAATATTTCGGACATATTTTTATACAGTATTCTTCTAGTCCCAAACTAAGCGACGCTATTGCTGTAGGTACCTACTAGAGAATCCTGATTAATTTTCTAAAACCTCTCAAGAGAAAAAAAAATTGCCTTTCTTGTGACAAGAGGAGTGATATTGTTAGAGAGAGAAGATTGGTATTTTTATATTCACATATGGAATCATCAGATCTAATCATTTTGTCATTGTAACAAGAATGAGTCTAAATTAATCAATAATCGTTCCGGGGATACCAAGCTTTCGATAACAAAAAAATTAGAGAGCCGATTTGTTTGGATACAAGTCCATATTTTATTAACGAAAAATAAAACGTACTGTATTCATTATATAACAGATTTTCAGCAGTTCCCTAAATATCTCCGGCGCCCAAGATCTCTACCAATGTAATTATTAAGGGACAACATGGGAAGCACCGGCTTTCAAATAAAAAAAATAATCATCAAAATTGGTTCAATCAGTGGAAAATTCTGAGGTAACAAACATAAAAATAATACAGTCGAATTGAAAACCTCCTTTTTTGAAGTCGGTTGAAAATATACGTATAAACCATTAGAGCCATAGGTGTTCTATACTTCGTCCATTATTAGACTAAAAAAGTAATAATACTGCTCCGGACGAACTTTTGAATCTTAACCGTAACCCCCGCGATGAACTTGCCAAGTTCGACTCTATGGTCTGACACCGCTAGCTATTCTGTCCTTAGAAATACTGCCTTGTGGTCTATTTAGGCAGTAACTTCAGGGGGTCGGTTTGAGTATTCAATAATCAGTTGGCATTGTTATCTAAAATCTTTACGGGTACTAAAGACAATTCTGAGTACTGACTATCGTTTGCAAGGAGACTTTGGAATTATACTTTATACCAGCAACTCTAGATTCAAACTCCCGTTTGAACGAATCACAGTAACTTTGTCATTGTTAGCGCTAATAATATCTCCCATTATATTTACATTGTTTATGTTTTAATATTTATTTATTTCATACAAAAATGTCTGTTTTTACGAAAAAAAAAAAACAAAAAATAAAATAAAATCGTTAGTATTCTAGTAAAACACCCATATACCGTTACTTATATCAGCGCGTGTTCTAAGAATGGAACAGAAACTCCATTAGCCACTAATAGCTTCTAAACTAGGTATGAAAGGTAAGGCACAGTTTGAAACTGTTACGGACGGGTAAAGGTTAACTACACGTTACGATGTTAGTGCTAGGAAGTATCTTGATAATGATTTAAAAGGACATGTTTATCTTTGTTGTTGTAAAAGGTAAATATTCGTTCTCATTGCCATTTTGATTCAAATGTCACGAATTGAGTCATTACATATTTTATTATCGTATACACCATTTAAAAAGGAGAGGTTTAAAAAAAATGTTACTTAATAAGATCTTAGTCATTTAAGACAACTCCCTCAGGTAGCCGTTGCCGGTAGCAGCGAAAATTCAAATTAAAATGATAATTAATATATTCAGAAATAAAAATGCAGGTTGTTTCAACTTTTTTATCAGTCGCATAGTTACATAGGTACTAAGAGTAAGCATAATGTTGTAACTTTATATAAAATCCAGTATTAATCTCTTATTAATAAGTAGCGGTAAGTTTAATAGTTTAATGAAAATGGAAAATTTATAACTAGACGGAAATTACAAAGCGCAATTATATTATTTAATATCAACTACTCGACGTCTTTGTGTCACTTAACTAAATAAATATTAGAACATTATCTCTGTTGGCGTCCATCTTGTTATTGGTAAAATTGCTCACTCGACGATTTTCCGCAACGGTTCACTGCTCAAGTGTAACTCCGTAGCACACAACTAGTCAGGCAGCAGATAAGTCCAATATTCATAAGATTAAATGCTATGGGCATTATCTAATTCCCGAGCTCTTTTTATTGATATCTTACTTGAAGCAAAGTTTCACATTAATACCTGCTTCTTAAAAACCATTTAAATATATCTTTTCTCTTCTAGACAATGTGTCGTTAAATAAGATACAAAATTTAAATATATACTTTTACTGAACACCGAGAGTAGAGTTATGTAGAGAGTAGAGTTATGTATCCGAGAGTTTAGCATGTAGTAAAACATGCCAACAGGCCAACTGCGAATCGGACTCACGCACAAAGGGTTCCGTATTATTATCTATAAAATTGCAAAAAAATCGTGTTTGTTTGGGAGCCCCACTTAAATATTTTTTTATTCTGTTTTTTAATACTTGGTGTTATAGTGGCGGCAGAAATACATTATCTTGAAAATTTCAACTGTCTTACTTTCACGGTTCATTACATACAGCATGGTGACAGACCGACAGAAGACAGACAGACAGTGACGTCTTAGTAATAGGGTACCGTTTTACCCTTTGGGTGCGGAACCTAAAATCTACCTCTAGATTGAGTAAACACTCAATCAGGTTTAATAAACGTGATAGTTTTCATTTATGTACAGAAGCGGATCAGCGTAACAAATATTTCTGGTATGAAAGCAATTATTTACACACTAGAACTGTTTGCTTACCAAGAATCAATATTGTGCCACAAACTCACATCATTCACCAATAACTGCCGATTCTATGTAAAGGCCAATGTGCCAATTTCAACATAAACAACCAGTCTTCTAAATAATTGGTGTTTTTATTAAGCATAATAAATTATTATTCCATCAAATGTCACATTCAAACGACAATGGTGTATATTTATTTACATGCAACAACAATTTGGCACTAGCTTATTTGCTAAGGTATTTTCATCTACGTTGAAATCTATAAGGAGAGAATATATACATATTATATATGTTATCAGTGCACTACACTTAAGCAGTATACTTAAAGTGCGACCGTAATAATATTCACCATAAGAAAGGAAAATGAAAAACGAAAGGAAAAACGAGTTGGACTCGCGCACGAAGGGCTGCGTTCCTATATCTATCTCTTCTCAAGGCCAAAGGTTCGGCCAAGGACAGTTCGAGCAAGTCTACGTTGGATGCGATCAAAACCCAGCCTAGATCACATTACACCACATCTGATCATATTGAAAGGTAATAGATAATAGAAGGGCGCGAATTGGCTTGATTAATATTTTCCGTCTAGAAATAAATTATTTGAAACATGATACTACGGGAGCGAAAAGACAAAAAATGGTGGTTAAAAACTTTATTTGAAATCCCTGTTTATCTTGTACCCCTTATCTTCAAGATTACGTATCGAATACTGCATATAGAATAAAATTAAAAAAAGTTAACTTTTAGCCTACGCATGTCCCACTGATGGGCAAAGGCTTCCTCTGTAAAGAGGGTATCAGGGCATAGTCCACCACGCGACCCCACTGCGGACTAGCGGACTTCACATATTTTAGAATTTTTTTTTGCTATTATTTCAAAAATAGGCAGGTTTTCTCACGATGTTTTCCTTCACCGCTGAACACGTGATAATTCAGCACTTAAAATTAACAATTTCATTGGTGCCGGCACCGGGGATCGAACTCAAGTTGATCGTGTATATTGAATTAAAGGCGAGCGCCCGGACACTGGGCTATCACGGCTATACATATAGAATATTCATGCTATTTTGAAATTAAATTTGATTGTAATTCAAAATCAAAGTATTATTTAGAACGACAGAACTGATAAAATTGGCTTTTAGTGAACCACGATGGATACTTTTTACTACTACATCACCATTTTATCTGATATTGGACGCAAAATCAATTCAGTTCATAACAAAGAAAAATTGTAAATGAACGAAAGATTCTCCCTTAAAATCAAATTCCGTGGACGCCTAAGGATGGCGCCCCTTTATGAATTTATAGCTCTATCGCAGGAAAAGTCAAACCTCATTTTTTTTTATTTGCATGCGACGTTGGTTTTGTACTTTAGAGCCCATTAACATAATGCTTCGTTCGGTATTGAAATATATTATTTTTACTCCCGATTCTATCTATATAAATATTTCGAATATTTTATCCATTGACCCATCCACACCTACAGTACCCTGGCGCTATAATTACCTATTCTAGTAGACCATGTACATTCTGAATTATCTAGATGGAATCTAACTAATATATATTACCTTATAAATAAGGTATCATATATTATATATAATATTAAAAAATGTTATCTTCAAACCGTCAAAATGTGCGTAAAAGAAATCCGGACAAACTCTATGGACCGAAATCAATACCAAGAACTGTACTGCTGGTCCTATGGTTCCCCAACAGTCATCAGAACAATGAAGACAAAGTGAACTTCTTCGTCCTCCTTCCCCCAAGGATCGTGACCGTACAATAAATATATCGTCAACCAGTGAGATCGTGCGATTCATGGACAGCCGGATACATGCTACCGCCCACTGATGCTGTAAAGAATGTAAAGGCCTTTTACAGCATCAGATAATCGTGTAGGGCCCCCTTTTTTTTTGTTGACGTGGTGGAAATTACTACGCATACTCGCCCTCAAGGCTTTTGGCCTCGCACCGACTAAAACTCCCCCGTTGTTTTACCAAGGCGCATATCGAAAGGGTCACGGGAACGCTTTCGCACATTTCCGCGACCCTGCCAGCGCTGGCCGATCGTGTAGGCGCCCTGCCCCGAGCAAATTTTGCCATCTATTCGGCTCAAGATAATGCCTCTCCCTATTATGTTCGCAATAAGAGATAAGATGCGGCTACGTTTAGCGGAATCCAATTGTCGATCAACATTAGCGTTATTTTTATGGCGATGACGACAATTATACAAAAAACCTATTTAAATCCTAAAAATGGATCAGGTCGACAAACCTATATTCGATTAGCAATAATCGAATGATAAACATCGATTACTGAATCATAATCATCGAATGATAATTATATGGCGTTATTTTATGACTTATAGAAATGTTATAAGCCGAATGGTTTGAGTGTTTTGATACATGAACAGGCTGAACGAAGAAAGACTTACGAAGAAAATATAAGATGCTAAACTGAATATGAATTATACAGCGTGTCTTTACAAGCGCGACAATAAAACTGTATTATTGAAAATTTACATTCCTTAAACATCAATATATACCGAGTTATTAAATTTTCCAAAACAAACAATTTTAGAACACGTATAAAACTGTAACGTAATGTTCATTTTTTACAAATCATATGAATGGGTTGAATGAATGTCACAAAGCATATGAATGGGTTGAATGAATTTCAAAGAGACTAAACATACTGTAAGAAGGAGAGATTTGTAATGCGACGCTGCGGCAACGAATGAAAAAGTGTCTGAATGTATGAATCAGTCAGTTTTAGTTGTATAGGATGTTTCAAACTTTGTTTCTTTTTTACTTAATTAGTTTGTTTGAAAAAATGTTTTTTTAATTATGGATTTTTTTAACGTTTTATATTTTTTTATGATTATTGGCAAGTAGCTATAGACGAGTGTTCGTTTATTGTCGCGGTGGTAACGACACACTGTATACTGACCAAATTGATGAAGTACTGAGGTCTAAGGACTGGATATAATCAAATCATTCCTTTTGAGTGACGTACGTATTTATGTGTGAATGTATTATAATAAAAACTAATATTCGAGTTGAGAACAACATCAAAAAGTTTTATTAAATAAAACTATTTAGACCCATTACGGTTTAACCCAGCGAACGCGTTTTACTTAACCAGTCAAATAACAGACGATGCTCCAATCGGTTCAGCGAAGCGATTTATTGAATCGACTTTATCGGGAAGTTACATTCATGTAATTTACAGGCTCCGTGCTACGCAGTAATGCGATAGATACACCACGTTGCGTCGTACCTATAGGTAGGTATCACTTGTGTTATTTCGTAAAGGAAAAATGAAAATACCCAATAATAATATATTTATTGTGGAAGATTTTCAATTTATCATTTTCATTGACATGACTAATTTCCTGTAAGAGATTTATGATACATTATATTGTAAGATTCATAAAAACGCAGACACCCACCCGGTTTCGCGCGTGTGCAATGTATTATACATAAAAACTCTCCTCTTGAATCACTCTATCTAGTAAAAAAACCGCATCAAAATCCGTTGCGTAGTTTTAAAAATCTAAGCTTACATAGGGACAGATAGACAGCAGGAATTTGTTTTACACTATGTAGTGATTCATAAAAATAAAGAATAGAGTAGATATAGGAAGGACATTAATGAATACTACTACTTGTTTAGTAAGAAGTTAGCTGGAAAGCGAGGTTCGGTTTAACTTCAGCCCCGGTAACCTACTCTCTAGACAAATTACAGAACTATCATGTGGTATTGGTGGTAGTGGGATCACACAAATTAATGAAACGTGACGATAATTAACTTGCCTTTATTAGTACTCAACTATCTTAGCTGTGGTAGGGCCACGCAACAGTGTTCTCCGTTGCACGAACGGGCAGATCCTTCCGGGTTAGTACCATATCCTCACAGAAGACCGGCGTGAAGTAGAAGTGTTACACTTTATGAAAAGGATGCAACACATCTGCAACCCTATAAGTGTTGGAAATCTCCGTGGGCATTTATATTTCCACTTAACTTTTATTTATTATCTGGTTATCACTTAACATCAGGTAAAGCGCCAGTTTCGTTTGCCACTTTCTCACATAAAAAAAATCTAGTGCAACAGTTACATATAACATTTTAACTTCGCGCCGGTCTTTTGTGTGGTTGTGGTACTTCCCCGGACTAGTTAGCCCGTTCCTGCAACAGCGAAGACTGCAGCTTTACCACCATTCGGCAACCATTGCAAGAGCCAGCATGCACCCGTTACCACTGTTGAATTGTCATATTCTACGGATTTCGGTGGTCCGTCCAGAAAGACCACTGGCTCGTTTAGATGCGAAATTTTCTGGTATAAATAAATATTTCAGGACACATTTTAACACAACGTTTTCTAGTCCCAAACAAAGCAACGCTTGTAATATACTAGATAACTTACCAACAGTCTTAAACACACTTTTCTTTTGTAAATAAATAAATATTTTGCATAACATATAAACACACAGATACTGGATAAACACTTTGATCACCACACAATATTTTTCCAATACTGGGGATCGAAGCCACATCCTCGGGTGCAAGATGAAGGGTTACTACCCACGAGGGCAACCCACGAGGGCAATCAGGTCGGCAAATGAATAAAGCTGTTTTTTTTTTCATACCAACTACAGGTTTAACGCATTATGTACACGCTTGTGTTAGATCGTCTAACACACGTGTGTTTACCGTGATTACTTATCTTGTGCTACGTAATGAATTATTGACTAACATTATATTACGTAACGTTCTTTATTCCTCACGACAAATCTATTTTTAAAATGCAGGACACATTTTTAAACATCATTCTCTAGTCCAAACTAAGCAACGCCTGTATTACGGGTACTATGTAACTGATAAATATACTACATATCTTTTTTAAATGTATATTATAGATATGTAAACACCTAGACACTGAAAATCACTATGTTTGCGAGTAGTGGGGATCGAACTCACACTGACACAAGCGACAGGTTCATTATCTACTACGCCAATTAGATCGTAAAGAAAAAAATGTCAATTAAGACACAAACAAACATTTGTCCCGCAAATTAAATTTTTAAAGATTTAAAAAAAAACGAAATGGACAATTCGCGAGGTGCAGGTGAACACAAAAAGCCATATCGGAGTCAACGAACCGCAAATCGCTGAATGTTTGCGAATACTCTTGTTCCCGACGCCCTCGTTAAACCACAAGCTTCGCAGGCCCTCGACCCCATTCCAGGCCTGAAAATTAGATCGCCGATCTCACTCGCAATTATCCCACTAGTCCGTAGACCAACCATTCTATCCTGAACCGCGCCTCCAATTACAGATGCCGTTTTTGTGGCCACGATGTACAAAGAACACTTATCTCGTCTTGAATATAAGCATTACTTTCACTACAGCTACACTACTTAAATAAGCCTACTCTTGCGTTAGTTATGAATTTGAATAGTAGATAGGTCGTTCATGGGGCAAAGTGTGCGCACGTATAATAAAATCCCATAGTCAATATTAAGTCTGCCACTTGATCAATTTAAACGCAAAATTAAAAGTGCTCTTATGGCTAAGGCGTATTATACCATTGCGGAATATCTTGTCGTCAATGTCTGGGGTTAGTAGTTAGATCATAAATATAAGCTCCGTGTTGGAAACAAACTAACGACCCCTGGTGACAAAGTCAATAGCCTAACTGCGCCACAGAATATTCTAAAATGCTTGAAATTGAAATTGGAAAAAAATTTTACTCGTAGGCCTTACATTAAAAGGGTGTAAAAAAAAGAGCAACTGTTGAGTTTCTTGCCGGTTTCTTCTCCACAAAAAACTGCTTTCCGAACCGGTGGTAACTTACGAACGTATTAATTTTTATGTAAAATTTTTGACATTTCATAAGAACGCGTAAGCGTCTATGTGAATAAATATATTTTCGATTTAGATTTTTTTGATTTTGGTGTCTAAAAGTCAACGTCAAGCCGTGTATAGGGTAAGTGCCAGGTAATTAAATACTTTTCCCTCTTATGTTTTTTTCCCATTTTTCCTTTTTTATCAGTATTGTTAATCGACTTTAACCATAATTAATTTTATCTGAAAACGTAACATAATAAAAAATATAGTAACCGCAGACTTAGATGATTCAATTGCTTACTTCACATTTAATTAATTTACGTTTACAATAGAGATTTATAACACGCCATTGGAGACAAATTAATGGATTCCTCTTATAGCCAGAATAAAAAGAAAGTACAGTACAAAAATCCATTCAAATTTATAGAAAAAAAGCAATACATTTCCAATTTCTATATTTCTTAAATTAACCAACATACGAGTACAACCGCCGATAGAAAAACGCCGATACAGGAAGGATGCGAAAAGCAAAGACGCGTAATGTTCCATTAACCTTGGCCTCAAGTCCGAACCTTCCACGCACAAGTTAAAGTAGCCATTATCGCCTAACTACCGCGTGGCGTTTACCATCCGCTCGTAATCGGCTGTGTTATATTACTGCACTCGCTGTCTGTAAGTAAGAGTACGATAAACAGCAAAAGCAAATGTGAGTAAGCGAGAGGAGAATAGTTATTGGAATTGTAGTACAGTTCAGTGCACACAAAATAATAATAATAATCGGTACAATAGTAGGTAACAATGTTATACCTGTTTTGTTAGTTATTATTTATATACTTTCACAATTTCAAAACATGCAAATTCAAAACTCTCAGCAGAACATAGAATTCATCCATGCAATAACTAATATGTGTTTTGGTTTCAAATCAACTCGGCCACGGTCGCGGGCGTGCGTGCAAGTCATCGAGTTTCCAATGGTTTAACTTAACAACGCACACCGGCCGTATTATAAAACTTTCGGTCCTTAATATACAGTAGGAGTAAGGCGTATTTATCGTAACAGATAAATATAACAGGTATCTCGAGATAACACAAACACACAAAATTGTTCCTTAACCCGCTGTCAGCAGCTTTCTTTATTCATGCTTACGACTGTTACCTTGGGCGAACACACTGTAACAGCTGTTACAGTATGTTCTCTATGGTAACAGTTACACAGATTGTCACAACATAGTATGAAATAACAGGCTGTTATTTTGAAACAGCTATTTGTTACTTTTAAGTATCAGGAACAGGCGTAACAGGCACTCGATTTAGCCTAGTATACCTAATTTATATATGTAGCTAGCATAGCTCACTCCTAATATTCAGAACGAGCGACACGGAACGCTGCGTGTCGTGAGCAAACGCGCGGGAGGGGCGCGGCGCGACGCGGGCAAGCGAGGCCGCGGGCAGGCGCGGGAAGGGCTCGACGCGGGGAGGGCGCGACGCGGCGCGACTGCAACATTCGGCTTCCAGTGACGGCGCCGCGTCCGTTGCGTTCGTGTTTCGATCGCGCCGCTTGCGAACAGCGCCCGCGATATGTCCGCTGAAATAACGCTAGTTCAGGAGATACAGAAGTACCCGTGCCTTTACAATAACAACCTGCCGGAATACAACCGTAAGGATCTGACCGAGGAGGCATGGACGGAAGTTGCCCATAACAACAACCTCACAGGTATGCGATGACATGATCGATCTTTGAACACCTATAACACTTATGCTAGATTTCAATGTTAACAGGTAAAAAAATATTTACTTACCTTTATCAAACATGCTGTTATTTTTACCCAAAAACTAACTGTTCATTAAAACTTTTTCTTCTTATCAAGTTTAGTCGAGTGTGCGTTCTGTATGCCTCGGCCTTCAGCAATAATAAAAAAATAAACAACAACAAACTTGACACGGTAAAGAAATGTCATTGTATTGTAATCATAAGAGATGGCGCCACCGTGCTTTAGTTTAAAGCAAAAGTAAAATGTTATCATTATGTACATTGTTAACGGTTAATGAATAAGCTGTTAAACTACACGATTACATTTATAAATGAATTAATGTATTTATGTTACATAGATAACAATGTTGCTGTAATGGTTTATTTCTTTTTCAGTGAGCGAATGCAAAGAAAAGTGGAGGAACATACGATGTTCGTTTTTAAGAAGCTTAAAGCCTACTGCTAAATTCAAAAAGCCATACTATTTGACCGCTTACCTGCAATTCATTTTACCGTTTATGAAATCGTTAAATAATTTGGAAATTGTTGAGGAATCGCAAACAAATGAAGGTCAGAGAACTCATCCCTCCAAGGATATAACAATAAGCACTGTCAAGTCAGAGCCGGAAGAAGATTTCGAAGGGCAATCGGATGAGGAAAGCGTTAATTTGGAAATCCCTGTGACTATTGCTGAAACCATTAATGCTGATTCACTGATATCACGTCAGCCATTAGCATTTCGAAAGCGCCGCCGACCACCGTTATTGTCCAAAACGTTTGCGGATAAAAAACTAAAAAGAACAAGATACGGCCAAGAGAGCATGCTCAATTCAGCTTCTGCAGACTCAAGCAGGGGAAACGCTAGTGCAATGCGCTATTTTCTCCTGAGCCTGTTGCCTGAATTCGAAACAATGTCCGACGAACAGATGAGACTGTTTAAAATTAAAGTCATGCTACTCATCGACGAACTCAAAACAAACGACACACAGATTAGACGGAGCGTTAGAAGTTCCACTGAAGGTGAACGACTACAGAAACGTTTAATTAATTTGCTGTTAAGAAATCTTAAGAAAACCTCCTGATGTCTTTTTTTTTTTCTTTTAAAGAAGGTGGCAAGCGAGCTGGTGATTCACGCGACGTTAAGTGATAACCGCCTTCCATTGACATTTGCAACACCCGTAGGGTTGCAGTACCGTTGCGTTACCTTATAATAAACTGGGCCCCGGCTACCTCAACCGGCTACTGGAAACACAGAAGTATAGCACTTGTACTTTACGTCGGTGAGGTAGCTTTACTTACCCGGACAGACTTGCCCATTCATGCAACAACGAATACTGTTGCATGGCCCTACCACAGCAATGTTATACCTATATGTTATAATAATGTACATACAGGTGCATGAAATAAACTTTGCTAAAACTAAAAATATTCTAAATAATGTTGTATTTTTTCACTAATTACTTTGTTAACTGTGATAATTATATTAGTTTTCTATTGTTGTACAATATATTTATTGCGTTAAAGTAAGTAATTTGAGTGTGAAGAAGGAGTGCGAAATAATAAAAGCGTCGATTTCAACAAAACCATTTATAATCATTTATGTTACACGGTAAAGATAGAGAAAGGTACATTATACAGAACGATTAACACAATTTTCTATGACAGTATATCGCACACCGGTTTTGTATGAATTTAATGCGATATACAATAATTTGACCCATTATTGTGTGTGAATCGCTTTAAAGATATTATTTTTATATTTAATAAAGATAACATAGACACAGAGTAATAAGATATGGCGTTTCGAAAAGTCAATACATTTCAGATTAAATATATGAATATTCTATTTTTATAGATAGACATACAAAACGACATAGAAAAGTTTAAGCAATTAATAATATAGTTCCCCACATAATAAATTAAAAACGGCATAAATAAAAGTTCAAACATCTAACTGAGGAATTTTGGCGTGAAATATTTGGTCCCATTATATTAACCACCTGAAACATATTTGTATAACAAAATATGGACTATTAAATATGATATGAAAGGGTTAAGTAACCAATAGTACCGTTGAAGGAGATAGTTGAATTTTATGATAATACATTGAACATTTACATTTATACACATCAAGCTCTAAACCCGCTCATAAATATCGAAATATTTTTTAAAGCAACAATGCAGTAGGTACAATCTGAGCCTCCTTAAATTTACATTTTAATCCTCTAATAATACCTAAATTTGAAAGGTACACCACCTTATTTAAGCCGGCGTCCATTATTAATCAAGACTCAGTCATTGGCTTAAATGGCTCCGAGGCAGCTTTCAGCTAATATTATACTTTAAAACTACTTATTATCAACTTAATACATGACTAATAACGGTTATACTTAATTTGATTTTAATGCGATCAAATAACACATTTCTTAATAAACAAAACATGTAAGACAAATTAGTCGTAACTTTGGGCAATAGAAATGAAATGTTGAAAAGAGATCAGTTTGCGCTTTTAACGAAATACTTCAGGAGGATCGTTCAAAACGATAATTTTTATATCCTTAAGTTGTTGATTGGATAGTCCTGTTGATCAGATATTTCGTTCTACGCCTTAGCACCGATTGAAACGCCCATACCGCCACATATACGTACGGAGATTTGGCGTTCGCTCAACGGGCTACAGTTAAACGCTGTCGATTATATTCGAATGAAAGCTATACACGTATCACTGGATGCAGCAGGTCCTCTTGTCGCTCTGCCCGCTCGTCCGGACCAGCCTGTTGAGGGTCAGCTTGGGGCTGCCGCCGGCGCTGTCTCCATCGCCCTTCGCGCAGGTCTTCGTCCTCATAATCATGAGGTCGGTGCGAATGCTCGGCCGGCGAACGTTTGGCGCGACCACGCCGCACGCGTCGGAGAGCCGCCTCTTTATCGACAGCGTGCACTTCTTGCTCCTGCTGCCCTGGCTGCTGGCGGGCGGTAGGGTGCACGGGCTCCCGAAGGCCGTGCTCACCCTCTTGTGATGGTTCGGCGCCATCTCGAGGGGCAGGTTGGCCACCACGAACAGCTCGTAGAATAGGTCGTCGACCCGGTAGTTCTTCTTAGCTGACGTCTCGACGAACACGCAGGCGGAATCTTGAGTAGCGCAGTAAGCGGTCGCCTCCTCTGGTTGTACGGTCCTGCGCAAATATGTTCCGTTTATATTACCCACTTATTTGCGAATCATTTTGAAATCACTGTATCTACGATTTTTTTTTTCTTGTCAAAATAACCTAATGCTCGTAAAGGCGCTTATTTGGCCCATAATTCACTATGCAGATGTGAATTACCGAGACTCAAATAAAGATCTTAGAAAGAGCCCCTTTACAATAACTGTATTTACAATAAGTACATCTTTTGTCTTCGAAAATATGATCACATTTCTCAAGGTCGCTCTCATTTTAAATGGCTCAAAAAAAGACGTAGCTCTATAAATATGTACGCGTACATTTTTATTTTTACTCAATTTGATTCCATTGTTACTTGTAATCCCAAATTTTAAGCTAATGCACCTACCACAATTTTCTACACGCCCCGGATGACTGGTACAAAAGGCCAATTGGCATTTAGACTTCCTGTTTATGGTATTATTTGTTGATAATTAGACCAATTGTATTATAAACTGACTTGCAATATTAATTATAAATTTCGCTTTTAGCACATGAATTCGTTCGTTTTAATGATTGTAATGTCTTCAGTGTTTGTCCAATTACTCAACTCAGTCCCCTAATTAAAGTAATAAATTTCGCTACTTGTCAGACAGTAGACATTCCTACTCAGTATGCACGCAATGGTGTCCTCATAGGCATTCCATAATACTCTTAGTTATTATAATATTTTTTGTACATTGCAAGTATAATTAAAACGACCTACTTTTGGACTTTTTGTAGTACTGTTCAGCGCTTTACTTTGTGCCATCTGAACTTCTTACATTTATTATTACCTTATTTTGAAGGGAAGATGGCAAAATAATTAATCAGCCCGATGCAAGGCAGTGTCGGACTATTGAATTTGTCGGATTATATAAATATACAAATACTTCCCTCCTATGCCACTCGACTGATAACTAGGTACTCACTAATCAAGACCCCCAAATCAAGCAAAACTGCTGCGTGCTACCAAGCGTGGTACAACGATACTCGCTTGCAATCAGTTTGGTTATCTCTAACATCGTTAAATGATATTTATTACGTCAATACAAGAAATCATTACTATGATCTCAATTTGTCAATCCTGAATGCTCCGAAACATGTGATCGTCACTTTACGTTACTTTATTTTTATTTTATTGAGTAGCAAAATCCACAGCCTTTAGTTGTTTTCATGTAGATCACATAATATGCTTAACTCACAGCCAAGAAAGGATTTGCATTTTATAGTTAGAATATATAAAATAATTCAGAAGTTAAGCAGTAACAAAGGAAAGATCTAAAAAGAAGAAAAAACCTTACCTTAATTCTCTGTCGCATTTATTTCCGGCAATTGCCATTGGCACTCGGGGCGCCTGCTTCTTGCCCCGGCTGCCGCTGGTGGCACTGGCCTTCGTCTCCAGGATCTGCTCCCGGAGCCGTATGACCTCATCAAACGATTCGCGGCTGTCCATCGCGAAAACGAGAACGAATAGATCACCTGTGGGATTAGTACGAGCCAGGATATAATGGGAAACAGCAATCTTAACTCACGTTACATTAAATATTTGTCAGGTCCACATTTCTCGCGTAGTCTCTAGTTTACATGGCAGTCTCTTCCGCGACCTCTGTTCCGTGACCATAGACTCTGTGAAGTTTTCGAAATGTCGGAAATGATACCAATCGTTTAATTTAAAAAGTCATTTTTTGTATAGATATACGTGTAATGCTCAAAAAAGACTTTTAACATGCAACTTCTAACATCTATTCGTTCGTCTATTAATATTTTTCCACAAAATTTTCTTCTATCGCGTATTTCATCCACATAAGAACTTTAACGTTTAATAACAATAGTATAGCGAGGAAACGTTGTCAGCGTAAGTTGATTTTCGGCACATAATAGGCTTTGCAGCATTGGCGTATCACTTTCTGATTATTAAGTGTAAAAAATGCAACTAATGTATACTGTAAATAGCTAGATTCACTATTCTTTGTCAGTAACGAAGCATCACTAAAAGCTTGGCGGCCGAAGCTGGACGGAAACTTAAGAGGATTTATCCCAATCCGATTTAAGTACGGAATCTACTTTCCTATCATTAAGTTAGAGAATGTTGCTAAAGGCGACATCTGTATCGACTCAGGGATATCCAATTAAAAATAAATTACCGTACTCGATGCTACAGTACCAGATTATTAATAAAAAATATTGAATACAATAAAGATGATTGGTACTTTTTTTCTGTGGGCCACGCAGCAGCTTCGGCTGTTGCACGAATGACAAGCACATTCGGGCAAGTACCACGGCCTACAGAAGACCGTAAGTGAGGTAACCGGGCCCACTTATTTTAAATTTTGCCAAAGCCTCTGCGAGCCCTCAGGTGTTTAAGATATCCAGATGGGCTGCCGTAATCACTTAACATCAGGTGAACCGCATGCTCGCTTGACAACTTTTCACGTAAATATTAAAAACAATACAAAATATTTAAAACGGGGCTCCCATACAACAGACATGATTTTTTTTGCCGTTTTTATAGATGGTACGGAACCCTTCGTGCGCGAATCCCACTCGCACTTGGCCGGTTTTTTTATATTGTTTCTTAGAAATGCAGGTTCCATACAAGCTTTTTTCGATGGCGTTTTTTCGAGTGCATTTAATATGAAAGCTCTTGAGACACAGGTGACGCAAGACATATTATAAACCACGGTGATGTAATCCTGGGGCACTAATATTCTTTTACATTTTCACAGAGCTATATTTTATGAAGAAAATATTGCATTAATTACCGCTTCTACCCTATAAAAGATATTATCCAAATGGGCTATACACTTAACAAAGGGCATGGCTCTTAATGAGCCTTCCGCTGTATATACACAAAAGCTATAGCCTATGCCGACCTCATCAGCTCACAGGATTGATTATTTATTACTTTATTTACTTTAATTCTCTACTTAATTACTTAGAGCAAAACTCACCAGTGAGAAAAGAAAGGCGTCTCATAGCCGGGAACGGATGGTTGCCCGAAGTATCCAGAAGATCCAATTGATAGACTTCACCGCGTATACGGTACAACTTGCGATGGAAGTCCTCTATGGTAGGTGTGTAGCTGTCTTCGAACTTCGTACCTAGGAAACGTGAGACTAACGACGTCTTTCCAACACGCGCCGATCTGTCGAAAGGAAAAGGGATACTTAGAAGAGTTTTACTAACCGTTAAAATAACAAGGCGCTTTTTTCTTAGAAAGGTAGAATGATAAATAAGCCTGTTTTACGGCGTCCAGTTACTTTTCTAGTGAAATATTACGCGGGACATTTTTTCTTTTCTTTAAGGTTTTATCTTGTTCTTCGAGCTAGTCTGGATTTATTAATCGGATGGATGCAAAAATAAAAAAAACAATGTTAAATGAGAATGTTAATGTTTAATAGTATTTTATTTTTATTGTTTAATAGGAGTAGCTGAAACTGAGAACCTTTGACCACTCCATCACATTATTTAAATTGAAAAAAATACCCTTTGCCTATACTGTTTAGTGGTTTGATTTTTGTGAAACGTCTAGACATATTATAATTAATATGCGGTATTAATTAAAACGATACCTTTATCTCGGCCATGTCATGACTTAAATTCCCCAGTGTCGGTGACATTGTAGAGTTACTAAATATTTATAATGTGTAATAAAAACTTATTTAATTATTATAAATACTACGAAACTATATAAACATAATTAAATTGGATCACAAGTATTTAACTCCTGTCATAGTTTTCTTTTTGGAATTTCGTTTCATCTTATAAATATATCGAATATAATTCATCATTAATATAATATGCTTTTCAACAAAATTAAAACACGACAACAATTAAATAAAACAAATTCCACATTTTAATTGGAACTTGTTATAGCTCGGTACCTCTATATAGACGTGACGTACCTATTTCGTATTTTTAAGCATATATAAACTTGGACTAAACTTCATAAATATTAGAAAACTGTATGCGATATTTAAAAAGTATATTGATTGTACATTCTATTCACAGACACAATAAAAGTACAATACACCTTAAAATATTGATTCTGAATTACACATCCTTTACTCATCAGTAAACGTAACACCGTCTCTTTTTATTGAAAACAGGTGACATAACCCAAGGTTATCGGTTCTTGACGTGACGCTTTGCTATTCCAATTAGCTAGATAACAAGCAATACCGAGTCTCGGCTGCGTACCAGAATTAACGCGGTCCCGATCACATTATAACGAATATTGATGCGCATGTGTCGAACACGTTTTGATGACTTGTTAACGACTTGTTTTTCCATCGGACACCAGTGCTATCATCGCGGCCGTTTAGAGCATTTTCGATTGTAGTGTTTAAATAAGCTGGACTTAATTGCATAGCGATCACGGTCCTAAATGCTTGAGGCTTTAAAATTGCGTAGATCGAACAAAATAAATTATTAAACTTGTTGACCATAGCCCGTATCATCTACAACGTTAGGACGGAAAATAACCATGGAGTGACAAGGGTGACGAATGTTCGAAACATCTGTAATTCAAATAAATACAAAGAAATAATACTATGAACAAGATATAACACGTAAATACTTTTATTTAATAATGTAGATGGTATTGCTGTAAATGCAAGAAATTATTCCTAGAAAAAGTAACTTATATTTATAAAAAAATCAAATAAATGCTTATTGCCTGATAAGACAAACCCTACGAATATCGAAATCACCATTTCTCAGTAAAATTCATTGCTAATCTACCATGAAATAATATAATTTATTACATATTTACTCCAAATAATTACATAAAACTAAAAAGTCAACGCGCAAAGAACTTTTGCGCGTTGACTTGATTCTTAAGGAAGAGTTGGAAAAAACCATGCTCATGTACTATAATTTGTATCAACGTCACTAGTTTCTACTCTTGATCTGAGTAAATTAATGATTAATCTCGTTACTCATGACTCTCTCGTCACACAATTTCATTACTTATGACTGATGTTGGTACGACAACGCAAATACAAATTCTACCATAATGAAATAACAAACGCAAGGTATATAGAATTGTAAGGATTGCTGCTAGATAACACCTCAAGTGATCATTCCTTTTATCTTTTGGTAAGAATAATGTTAATAATAAAATTAGAAAAAAAAACAATAAAGATATAGAAATTCTCGAAAATATATTTTATCATTTTGCCAACGTTTCCTTTTCAAACCATTCTTTCCGTGGTGTAAAACTTCGTATATTGACTCCCCGTTAGCTTGCACTTTTGCGATATCTCACATACGGAGACAGCCTTTGGTATTTGCAGACCGATGTTGATATGTTTGCTTTAAATTTCATCTATTGGCACTGGATATTGGAAATCTCAGTGAATTCCTTTCGATATAGATAAATGTAAAAGCGAAAACTTTCCTTCCCTCTTTTTTTGCGCACACAGACTAGTGAGGTATTTGGTACAGTCAATGTTTATATGGAGAAAAAATGCAGGAATCCAAAACTTATACCCAATGATATTTTTATACTAGAGATATGTCGCTTACAAAATCACGGGTCGAAAGTATTCGTATTTCCAAACCGAGTGGCAGAACACATTCACAAGTTTCGTTTGGAATGGTAAAAAAAAAAGATAGCGTAATTAAACCAATAAGAAAAAGTAGGAAAGCAAGTGTTGGTGCATCCGTCTTTCTCTTGTTGTATTAAAGTTATTTACTGTCTCTTTCATTGTTTTCTCACTTACATAAATTAAAAATAATGGGAAAATAATTGAAATATGCCAATAAATTCAAGATATATTCCATTCCGTACATTATATGGGATTCCTTGAATTTTTTTAACTTTAGAGTCGTACTTGGTACATCTTTTAAAGCACAAAAGCTTTTAAACATTTTTATTGTTGTAAAATGTTTGACACCGCGTCTTACTGCCGCTCCGTCTAACTTAAACTAAACACGAAACGTTCTAATTGGGACGTTTTCGTGGCATCATTTCGGCCGCGTAAACAACCTATCTGTAGTATAAAATATTATTGATTTTACTATATACATATACTTGTGTTATTACAAATACGTATAAAAATGTTCTTTATGTTCGAACTGTCAATATGAAATGGATAAATAGTCTGATGTCGAACAATTGCAGAGTATAGATTACCGCCAAATAGTTTTAAAAAGTCAGATTGACATAATGAGTATCAGAAAAACAATAATTCATAAAGAATCAATTACGATCTAATTTCGTGACAGTTAAAGACAATTGAATTAATATTTATATTAAGACAAAGATAACCTGAACTTATAAGCTGTATGATTACGAAATTGTTCTGAATGAAAGATGAAAAAAATTTTGATGGAACCTGGAAAAAATTAAATTGGTGGAGTTGCAATAAGAAGGTGATTCTTACTAATCACCTTCTTATTGCACAACAAGGATTGGTAAACTGAGTTTGAAGTGGTAATTTTTTTTTTTATGTGAAAAATTGTCAAACGAGCAGACGGTTCACCTGATGTTAAGTGAATACCGCCGCCCATGAACATCTGCCACACCCGAGGGTTGCAGATGCGTTGACAGACGAAACCTTTTGAAAATTGGGCTCCGTACTACCCATACGAAAACGCGAAAGGGCATACTTTCACTCATTGCAGGCTGCTGTGTGGCCCTACGTAAGGAGTACCGGAGAAAGTGGTTGATTTAAGTCATTGCACAACAAGGATTGGTAAACTGAGTTTGAAGTGGTAATTTTTTTTAATAATTATTTTATTGAATAAAGAACATTTAAGAAGGTTTAAGGAATTATTCTCTGTTGTATAGATTTGTATCTGACGGCGTGGCGCTTGAAAGCTAAGATTTTGCGTAAGCCGTAGAACTAGAAAAATCAACAACACGAGTGATTGTGATGTATTAGTCATTCAATAAAAGTGTCAAGGCAGTGGTTGCTTAGTAGGAAGGTCGACTTGCAATCTGAAGTGTCCATCAATAATTTTTCTTTAAATTTTATTACTTGCTAAACATATTGCTTCGTTTCGATATATGTAGGCGGGCTGTGAACCTGTTATATTTTAGGACTTAACAAACTCGGTGGAACTCGTATTTAAGCATTCACCGTCTACGTGGTTAAAAGACGAGTTTGTATTTTTCATTCCACCTGGTAAGAAGATGGGATTCTGGCGTAATTGTTTATATTTTTTATTTTTACTTTAATCACAGTCACCCCATCTGCTAAAGTAATTGCCAATAAGCGAAACAGGACGCGAAACATATTGACAGCCAATATCGTCTGAATATTCAGATTCGGGCAAACACATATCCACACGACACATACACAAATTACAAACGCCCGTCGACGCCATTCCGAGATTCCTGTTCCACTTCTGCAACCGATTACCCCGGTTCGGCGTTAATTTATTGCCACGACGGGAACAAGAGCGAAAGCGGGAATTTGTTAATTTGAGAGACAACATTCCGTATTGCAATTTGCCGTTTCCACCGCAGCCGGAATACGATAATTGATGTATATAGTCAGGATGTCATACTTTTGCTTTTCGTCTGACGAGTGAGGTAGCCGGGGCCTACTTTATTACAACCACGTCGTCTGGATTAATCATATCATACAGGGAGGCTTTTTTAAAGGTGCCCAAATTTACACAAGAGGTTCAGACTCGATAGAATAATCGTTTATTGAAATAAAAACAAACTATTTTTGTTTTACAAAAAATACCTTTCTATTAAAATATGTAGAAAAAGTGCGAAAAGATTGTCGCCGCTGTGGGAATCGAACCCACGTCTTCGGCATTCGCGGCCTGACGCTCTAGCCACTGAGCTAAACGGCTGATTACCACCCCGACGAAAATCTTAACGCATTCTTCCACATTGTTTTCTTAGCATTTGAAGCAATGCTTGGCGCCATCTATTGTTATATCCTTTCCAGCATACAAACAATTTCCAATATCGTTTTACAACGATAATTCGAACGAGAGATGTCGCCATTGCTTTTTTAGAAATTTAAATTGTTTATAGTGCTAATCTTTGCACTTAAGATTGAACATTAAAATATGTAGAAAAAGTGCGAAAAGATTGTCGCCGCTGTGGGAATCGAACCCACGTCTTCGGCATTCGCGGCCTGACGCTCTAGCCACTGAGCTAAACGGCTGATTACCACCCCGACGAAAATCTTAACGCATTCTTCCACATTGTTTTCTTAGCATTTGAAGCAATGCTTGGCGCCATCTATTGTTATATCCTTTCCAGCATACAAACAATTTCCAATATCGTTTTACAACGATAATTCGAACGAGAGATGTCGCCATTGCTTTTTTAGAAATTTAAATTGTTTATAGTGCTAATCTTTGCACTTAAGATTGAACATTAAAATATGTAGAAAAAGTGCGAAAAGATTGTCGCCGCTGTGGGAATCGAACCCACGTCTTCGGCATTCGCGGCCTGACGCTCTAGCCACTGAGCTAAACGGCTGATTACCACCCCGACGAAAATCTTAACGCATTCTTCCACATTGTTTTCTTAGCATTTGAAGCAATGCTTGGCGCCATCTATTGTTATATCCTTTCCAGCATACAAACAATTTCCAATATCGTTTTACAACGATAATTCGAACGAGAGATGTCGCCATTGCTTTTTTAGAAATTTAAATTGTTTATAGTGCTAATCTTTGCACTTAAGATTGAACATTAAAATATGTAGAAAAAGTGCGAAAAGATTGTCGCCGCTGTGGGAATCGAACCCACGTCTTCGGCATTCGCGGCCTGACGCTCTAGCCACTGAGCTAAACGGCTGATTACCACCCCGACGAAAATCTTAACGCATTCTTCCACATTGTTTTCTTAGCATTTGAAGCAATGCTTGGCGCCATCTATTGTTATATCCTTTCCAGCATACAAACAATTTCCAATATCGTTTTACAACGATAATTCGAACGAGAGATGTCGCCATTGCTTTTTTAGAAATTTAAATTGTTTATAGTGCTAATCTTTGCACTTAAGATTGAACATTAAAATATGTAGAAAAAGTGCGAAAAGATTGTCGCCGCTGTGGGAATCGAACCCACGTCTTCGGCATTCGCGGCCTGACGCTCTAGCCACTGAGCTAAACGGCTGATTACCACCCCGACGAAAATCTTAACGCATTCTTCCACATTGTTTTCTTAGCATTTGAAGCAATGCTTGGCGCCATCTATTGTTATATCCTTTCCAGCATACAAACAATTTCCAATATCGTTTTACAACGATAATTCGAACGAGAGATGTCGCCATTGCTTTTTTAGAAATTTAAATTAATGTTCAATCTTAAGTGCAAAGATTAGCACTATAAACAATTTAAATTTCTAAAAAAGCAATGGCGACATCTCTCGTTCGAATTATCGTTGTAAAACGATATTGGAAATTGTTTGTATGCTGGAAAGGATATAACAATAGATGGCGCCAAGCATTGCTTCAAATGCTAAGAAAACAATGTGGAAGAATGCGTTAAGATTTTCGTCGGGGTGGTAATCAGCCGTTTAGCTCAGTGGCTAGAGCGTCAGGCCGCGAATGCCGAAGACGTGGGTTCGATTCCCACAGCGGCGACAATCTTTTCGCACTTTTTCTACATATTTTAATGTTCAATCTTAAGTGCAAAGATTAGCACTATAAACAATTTAAATTTCTAAAAAAAGCAATGGCGACATCTCTCGTTCGAATTATCGTTGTAAAACGATATTGGAAATTGTTTGTATGCTGGAAAGGATATAACAATAGATGGCGCCAAGCATTGCTTCAAATGCTAAGAAAACAATGTGGAAGAATGCGTTAAGATTTTCGTCGGGGTGGTAATCAGCCGTTTAGCTCAGTGGCTAGAGCGTCAGGCCGCGAATGCCGAAGACGTGGGTTCGATTCCCACAGCGGCGACAATCTTTTCGCACTTTTTCTACATATTTTAATGTTCAATCTTAAGTGCAAAGATTAGCACTATAAACAATTTAAATTTCTAAAAAAGCAATGGCGACATCTCTCGTTCGAATTATCGTTGTAAAACGATATTGGAAATTGTTTGTATGCTGGAAAGGATATAACAATAGATGGCGCCAAGCATTGCTTCAAATGCTAAGAAAACAATGTGGAAGAATGCGTTAAGATTTTCGTCGGGGTGGTAATCAGCCGTTTAGCTCAGTGGCTAGAGCGTCAGGCCGCGAATGCCGAAGACGTGGGTTCGATTCCCACAGCGGCGACAATCTTTTCGCACTTTTTCTACATATTTTAATGTTCAATCTTAAGTGCAAAGATTAGCACTATAAACAATTTAAATTTCTAAAAAAGCAATGGCGACATCTCTCGTTCGAATTATCGTTGTAAAACGATATTGGAAATTGTTTGTATGCTGGAAAGGATATAACAATAGATGGCGCCAAGCATTGCTTCAAATGCTAAGAAAACAATGTGGAAGAATGCGTTAAGATTTTCGTCGGGGTGGTAATCAGCCGTTTAGCTCAGTGGCTAGAGCGTCAGGCCGCGAATGCCGAAGACGTGGGTTCGATTCCCACAGCGGCGACAATCTTTTCGCACTTTTTCTACATATTTTAATGTTCAATCTTAAGTGCAAAGATTAGCACTATAAACAATTTAAATTTCTAAAAAAGCAATGGCGACATCTCTCGTTCGAATTATCGTTGTAAAACGATATTGGAAATTGTTTGTATGCTGGAAAGGATATAACAATAGATGGCGCCAAGCATTGCTTCAAATGCTAAGAAAACAATGTGGAAGAATGCGTTAAGATTTTCGTCGGGGTGGTAATCAGCCGTTTAGCTCAGTGGCTAGAGCGTCAGGCCGCGAATGCCGAAGACGTGGGTTCGATTCCCACAGCGGCGACAATCTTTTCGCACTTTTTCTACATATTTTAATGTTCAATCTTAAGTGCAAAGATTAGCACTATAAACAATTTAAATACCTTTCTATTCCCAAAAAACAGAACTTGTTGAAATCGCGGTAGCCATTCATAAATACCTAAATTTTACTGTTCACGCACACAAACAAACTTGTGTGTACAGTAAAATTATGAATGATCGCGCGTAAATTAAATGAGTTGCGTATAAATCACACACTTTTTGAGATAAGTTCAAATGAATGTAATTAATTACTTACGAGTGATTTAAAATATTTATCATTTTTTATATAACATTATTTGTGTCTAGAATTTAATAAAAAAATGGATACACTGTATAATAAAAATGGCACCATAGTAAGTAATGAAAATCGTAATGGCTATTATTTTGTTACATAAAGACTACAAAACGGCACACACCAATGGGAAGTGATAACTTTTTTATAACATACTCAGGGTACCTCATATTACCCCTACTGTAGGATAAGATATGCCTTTCTGTATAGATATGTTACGAACAAATTAAACGAACTATCTGATCCGAAACAATTATCTGTAGGTCATGCAAATACTTGTAGCGGGTGAAAATCGACCCACGACCCGTGGCGCCAAAGTCTATCGCTTAGCAACTACGTCAACAGAATCATGTGATATAATTCATTAGTCAGTAGCACCATCATAAATTTAGCAATTATTTATTCGATGTTAAGTCTTTTTCTCAATAAGATCGCCACGAAACTACTATGGATGTTCAGGATTTGAAATAAAAGTTACATGTATGTGAATAGTGGATATTGGAATAAGTTGCATCTGCCTCCTGATCCTCAGGCAAACATCAATGATTTAATATATAAATTACACATTAAAACTTCACGTGGACCAACGCCAAGATGCGACACAACTATCTGTGGGTCACACAAATAGTTGCCCGTCCGGGGATCGAACCCACGACCCCCGACGCCGAACCCAATACTTTGACAACTGCGCCATTATGTTATCAAAACAGGTAACAAAAATTCGTTACATGGAATTTGTTGTAGTTATAACGAAATGTAATATTTTCTTTCTGGCAATATACCGAGTTTCCTTCGGATTCTTTTCAAAGTATTGTAGCGTTAGGACTTGTAATTGCGAAATATAAGAGCGAACACAATGCCAATTTCAGCGAAAACTTTTCAATTTTATACACAATTTATATAATAACAATGGTGAGCGTTTTGTGTTAAATACTTTTAAAATAAATTAACTATACAAATATACAAAATAAAAGACGACGATCTCCCACTGGATGGAGTGGCGACCTGTACAAATATGCGGGAAACCGATGGATGCAGGTGGCTCAGGCTCATGCTTCTTATCGGTCTTTGAGGCGGGAGGCTTATGTTCGGCAGTGGACTAATACCGGCAAATAAATAAATAAATCAGCAGCATCAACTAGAAGACTAGACTGGAGAACGCTTTCGAGAACCCCATCTGTTTTTTTTAATTTCGTTTCACCTGATGTTAAGTGATAACCGCCGCCCGTTGACTTTTTGCAACACTCGTAGGGTTACAGTTGCATTGCCACCTTTAAATAAAGTGGGCCCCGGCTACCGCTAGTATAATACTTCCACTTCACGGCGGTCTTCTGTGAAGTCGTGATACTTACCCGGACGGTCCTGCCAATTCGTGCAACAGTGAGCACTGTTGCGTGGCCCAACCACAGTTAATTTGTCAGTTATCTTTGATATTAGACGCAATTTGTCGCGTAAGTTGGCATAGAGTGTGTTACGTTCTAACAATACCTCTCCTGATTTACGTTTGAAAAGCTTTCATAATTATTCCAGTCGCAAATGGTTCTGCAGGGACCAATAACCCTAACTATGATTTAAAATAAACTACATAGATTAAAGTTCGGTTGTTGTTAAAGGTAGGTTGAAATGGAAAATATGTGCAAAAGCGAGGACTGTTGCGTGGTCCTATCAATAAAAGAGGAGTTGACGTTACTTACCCCAGCATGACCAGTCTGTAGCAGTTCTTCGGCGGCGGGGCGGAGTCCTCGCAGCCCTGGGGCAGCGCGCTCGGCCCGGGCGAGCGTTCCGGCTCCGCGTCCTCGACTGTAGCGGCGCCTCGTCTACACAGCCACGACGCGCCGCATCTGTCGCGGCCATCATCAGAAGGCGCCGCGAACTGACACTTTCGGGGTGACCGTTGTCTCCCACCGGAGAGGGACGACTTCAGAGGTGACGACGGCGTCCTCACGGGGCTCGGCGACGCCCTGACCGGCGACGGAGACACCTTCACCGGCGAGGACTGCAACGACAGGCCACCCCTGTCCGTCGCGCCGTTCAGCATCGTTCAGCCGCTTCTCATAGTGATCACCTCCGATTACCGAGCCATCTTCGTTTAGATCTGCGTCAGTGTTCGTGTTTATTCTCGCTTCACTCGTTTGACGTACCGTCTATAGACTGGTTTTAACGGTCAGCACTAGTTTAACCTAAACGTAAACTTTAATTAACAAGGAATAAGTGCATCAGCCAAATCAAATATTGTGTTAAGAAATTAAAGGAATGTTTAGCCAATATCAACAACCTATTATTCGAACTATATTGTATTCTGTAAGTCATCAAGACATCTTAGTCCTGATGCCCCTTTTAATTACAAAAAAAATGTCTTTAGTATTCAATTCCTAATTACAAATTAAAATAGCAGTCATTATTCTAAAATATTAATGTTACCATTACTACTCAAAACAAAAATGCTTGTTTAAATGAATTGAGTTTTAAATAATAATTTCTTGAGTTTACACGATAATAGTTTCATTTAAAAAAAGGATTCAATTTTATCAGTATGACGTGTCAGCTATAATATCTATTTACACACGTGGCTATTTTATAATAACAATTTAGATAATAATTGTACTTTAATGTCAAAATGTATGGTCTAAAAGTTGTGATTGTGTATACAATAAAATAATATTCGTACAATTACATTTATACCGTCCATTAAACAAAAACTCTTGGTTTAAATGAATTTTTTAAAAGCTAAAATTAATAACAAAAATTAATTAAAAAAATAAATTGAAAACGCAAAATAATATTACGATGTGAAATGCTGTGCAAAGCTACGAAATTGCTAATATCCGTTGACGCATGCAAATATCGTTGAATTCCTGGAAGCTTCAGCCTACAACAACGATCAAGGATTTTTAATAATTTTTGTTTTAGAATGATTGGCATTTTAATTTTAACATCTGCGTTCGTGATAAAAGGAATGTGAAATAATGCGCTTCTATAAAATTTTATATAATTATATCGTAATATAGTTTTAAATTCAACATATATTTTTTTCTTATATTCGGGTTAAATCAAGTGTGATAAATCATTATTACCGATTGCATACAGATATTTTATTTTCTAAAACGCATATTGTTCATTTATGAATGTTATCATCACCTTCCCCTTATAATGCCACAACGAACAACACTATTTTCGTGATATTGTCTAAAAGCGATGTATATCAATTGATCAGTTATATTCTAATTTAATTTTTTACTTGAGAAACGGTGTTTACTAGTACTTAGACATCGTATATTTTTCTTACGGGATGGAGAAGTAACATTCTTCTAGTACATTCTATATATATAGTGGGAAATACCAGTACCAACAGAAAACCAGCGAGGAAGACTTTTACTTTTCCGTTGCGGTTTCCCACACTTTTTAAAGGTTGGCAACGCATCTGCAACATGATAGCACAGTGTCCGGGCACTCGCTTTTAATTCGATTCACTCGAGCAACCCGAGTTCAAATCCAGGTGCGGGCATTAATTAAATTGTTAAGTTTTTTCTTTTCAGGTCTTTGTAGAATTATAGAGTTAAAGAAGACCTTTAATTAAAATTTTCAGTATTTATGAATATGCGGTCTTTGCTTATACAGTCGCCAATTTTTAATAATGGGTATTTTCAAGATGAATATCATTAATTCTACTTTGAATTCTTTGTAACCTAGCTATCACATTTCTTTTAAATTAGTAGTTCCGCCGTTCGTGCGTTCGATTTTCCTTGACCCTGCGCAATATTTTCACATACGACTACCTACTTTCTTAACACCAACGCAACAGAGACGCCACGCCGTATCAACTACGTTACTCACCAGGTACTGCAAATGAACGTAGTTCCTTTTTGGTTTGCTCACTGTCATTTTTAAAATTTTTATCTCAACAAGAAGCCTCGTGCCGTAGCAAATTCGAAATATAATTACGATGAGTTTAAAGTCATAGTGGAAGCAGATTTAGTTGAAATGACGCCATAATTGCGGACTGTCTTAACCGAAAATTATAAAAGTTTGTTTGAATTGATTCATTCGAGTCAAATAGGAAAGATTAAAAAGTAAAAGAGTAGAGTAGAAGTCCGCCACGCTGGTCAGTCAACGGTGGAGCTGTGCCGAAATTATTCATTACAGTTCTTGCGATGCCAAGTGCAAAAAAATACTGCAGGGATGTACAGTGGCGATTTCCGCACAATGACGCTTGGCAATTGAATAATAGTCGCTTGGCAAGGACCTTCTTGTGCTTGCCAACTAGCACTTGCTAAAAGCTTATAAAAGTACGTAGCATGGAGTTACGGCTGGTAACTAAGGCAACCGCACCTTGAACACGTTGAACCTTGCTGGATAACGTTTCACAAGGGAAAAGCTTTCAATTCCATAAAGCCGTTAACAACTTCCTTAACAACTTTTAAAGATTTCATTTTTTTGCGTCTTTTAGATTTCTGTAGCGTACCATAAATACATTTAAATAGGAATGTTAAAATGTGCCGACAGTAATGGATACTACGATTAGTTAAAAATTGTTTGACTTTTTCCATATAGAATGGCAATAATGAGCCAATACAATGCTACCGATATCCCAAACAATGGTAAAGGTCTTTCGCATTTGATGAAAACCATGGGCTTAATACTTTCGTTTCTATATGAAACAACTGCTGTGTAAACTGCTGCTTTATAAATGTTGACGAGTGATTTATATTATCAGTCGTATTCTATTTTGGACATGAATTCGTTTTGGCCGTCAGCAACGAAAACGACTCGTAGTATACGTTTTACGTGGGCGTATGAAATTAATGTAATAGGGCCGAAAAGGTCACTAAAGTACATAAGCCTAGGAAAAAAAATTGTTTCGAATCTAACGACAATACCTAAAGAGAAATGACGTATTAGGGCTGGTTTGAAATAAAAATAACAGAAAGAGCCGACTCTTAAGACAAATGATATATAAGACTTCAAATCTTTTATTCCTGCCTTGGGACAAGGATTTACGAAGTGGTTACCATCTTACATCATGTGACCAAGTCTAAGCCTCTAGTCTATTACAGGTATGATTTCCGTTCCCAATACATAAAAATTGGCCTTTGAATCAGAAAGGGCTTGATATTAGTCGGGTTCAAAATGGCGTTCCTCGATTTAACGGCAAGACATCCAAAAACCACACATCTTATTGTATTGTTGAATAAGCTGTTGGAAAGCAGTTCTAAAATGGTCCGTTACTGCATCGATAGAAGGCGTAACCTCTTTTATAATGTAAAGAGTACTGCAGCGCACAATACAACTATCTTTCTTACAGGTAAACCTATTCAGAACTTATATTCAGAGAAGTTCTATATACGATCACCAAAGGCGAATTAATCAACGCCTAGACGTTGAGACCTCATCATCGTTGCTGCTCATATACGATACATTAGTAACGTGAACACCGAAAAAACTCAGCTCTGCCACTCCCTATTACTAGATAAGTTAAGTTTATTTAGGTATGAACCAAAATATTCAACTAAATTCAATATAATAAAAATAAAGTTTACCGTTCGATAAAATTGTAATATTAAGAAAGGTAAAATTGTTAAACCAATTGGGGCTCCTTTAAAAAAGTCATGCAGTCTTCATAATTAGCAACGACACGTGTCATTTTTAATCGGCAAAATCAATTTGTTTTATAATAATTCTGAATGACTAGACGCGGGAAATTATAAAATATTTTTTTAACAGCCTATAAATGTCCCACAACTGGGCAAAGGCTTCCTCTGTAAAGATCAGGGCATCAGGGCACAGTCCACCACGGGACCCTACTGCGGATTGGCGGACTTCACATACCTGCGAAAAAATATTTTTATTATTATTTCGAAAACATGCAGGTTTCCTCACCATGTTTTCCTTCAACGCCAAGAACGTGATAATTCAGCAATTTAAATTAACAATTTCATTGGTGCTGGCACCGGGGATCGAACTCAGGTTGGTATCTAACTCAGGAGCTATGACGGCTCTGAATTATATATAATAATAATAAAAGGGACAGTGATTTTAAACTGCGTTGTTGAAATATATATATTGCGCTATATCAAAGTGTAGTCCTTTAACGAGGTACCGTAGCCGGAACATGCCTTAATTTATAAAAGCATAATTATTATTTGACGAGCAAATATGGCGACTCCTTAACTGCAGTAATGACGTGACCGGGTTGACCTCAAGGGAGCAGTTTGTGACGACCTCGTGAAAAAGTATATAGACACGTTGGTTTAAATAATGTATAAATTATTACATATATATACACCCTCACAAAGGAGTATATGGGGTTAGACGGCAGTTTTCTAAGTTGGCCAACATTAAACATTCACTCGAATGTCATAAAAAGTAATAATTTTCGTCCACTCACAGCTGATCGATCGAACCACTTTTTAATAAAAAAAATTACAAGTAAATATTTTAAAGGTTACAATGGTCGGGCCACGCATGAGTTCTCTGATGCACGAATGAGCAGGTCCGTAGGAGAAGAAATATTATGCTTCTGCGTTTCGTCTGCGGTGAGTACGGTAGCCGGGGCCCACTTCATGAAAAGGTGGCAAGGCAAGTAGTTCGATCCCCGGTGCCGGCACCAATGAAGTTTTTAACTTTAAGTGCTGACTTATCACGTGCTCCGCGGTGAAGGAAAACATCGTGAGGAACCTGCTTATTTTCGAAATAATAACAAAAAAATATATATTTCGAAAATATGTGAAGTCCGCCAATCCGCAGTGGGGCCGCGTGGTGGACTATGCCCTGATACCCTCTGTATAGAGGAGGCCTTTGCCCAGCAGTGGAACATGTATTGGCTGTTACTTTAAGGCCTTTGCAATCCTATGGGTGTTGCAAATGTCCATGGGCGGCGGTTATCACTTACCATCAGGTGAACCACCAGCTCGCTTGTCGTCCTTATCACATTAAAAAAAATAGACATGTCACCTGCACTGATAACACTCAATGGAAAGTAGCCTCTTAAAACTGATGAGAATACAAAAAACAACGACATCCGTAAGAAAACAAAGCTAA